GGGGTCTCCAACTTTCCTCCTTCTTTTGTCCGGGGGACTCACTCCTGAACTTGTCTACAGTACTGGCTGCATGTGCTACTCCTTCCCATTTTCTAGTGTCACTGAGGAAAATGTTTAGTTATTCACTTTTTTCAAGTTATCACGATGTCTTTGGTATTTATTGAAGCCTTCATTTTTGTTTGTATTTCCAATGCAGGCTCCTTCGAGGCATTACAATCAGATTCTGGATATCTATCCCTTGAAGAGTACTTGGATCTTGGTAAAAAGATGGCACCAAACTTTACCACAGACAGGGAACAAATCTACAACATCTTCAAGTTGTACATGGTATCTATGGTTGTATTTTTCTTTTTTGTATAGCACCAATAATCTCATTTCTGTTGTTTTTATTCTGGCTGTAATGTTGTTTATTTGAAGACACCTTTTAAGGATTGGTTTGGTGTGTGGTCTGTTTCTTAACTCAGCGTGAGATCCAGCAGAAGAATCGCTTTGATGAAGGAGACCTTGTGTTCCATGTGTACCGTCGTTTGTGTGACGTCAAGACACTTGATTGGGCCATCCATGAGTTTTATGTAGACGAGACTCAAGACTTCACTCAGGCTGAGTTGGCTCTGCTGATACAGTGTTCTCAGGATCCAAATTCACTCTTCTTGACAGGTGAGTAATAAATTGTACTGGAGAAGTCAATGCTTTTAAGCTAAAAAACTATGACAACCATCAACTGAAAGGACAGATTTCCAGCTGTTCACATTTTCTTTCCTAGAATTGGCCAAATCCCACATTTGAATTTGGTACTAAATGACACATTCTGCAGCTCCACTGTCTGGCAATGTTAGCTTTAAAGTATTAACACTATGTCTATTAACCCTTACCCTCCTCAATCCTTCACCTGTTGGAGGACTGAGGAGTATTAAAATCCAAAATTGTGCAGCCTTCATCAGTACATAATTTGTATGCTCAATAGCCCCTTGCCCAGGTTTTCATGTGCTTCACAAATCACAAGGCAGTTGAAATAATGGACCACAATTTTTTTTTCAAATTGTTGTCAAATCATTGTGGGTTCACAAGGTCTGATCAGCTTCAACTTGATACCAACACACTTCTGGGTAGGCATGCCAAGCATTCAACGGTTCACTTTGTTCTGGTTTTATAGGAGATACTGCCCAGTGCATCATGCGAGGAGTAGCCTTCCGATTCAAAGATCTAAAATCACTCTTCCATTATGCTAACAAGTCTGCCAAGGCTCTCGGCAAGCCCACGGCTGCGACTGTCCCCAAGAAAGTCTACCATCTCACAATCAACTACAGGTCTCACTCTGGTAAGTCGTATCTGCCGAGCTATGTATTGAACGAGTTATGAATCAACGTTATTATAACACAGCTTAACAATGTGTAGATATGGAGGAACAAATTCTTTGGAGTTTTTCATATTTCTGCAAATGTTTCAGTTTCACTCTTGTCAACCCTGTTTACTGCTATTGACTGTTGATAAGTTTGGTTGGAAAGATTATGAAATGGTACTATAATTATTTTGGAGAGCATTTAAACGATCTTTAAATTATCTGATTTAAGATTAAAAAGATGAACAAGACTTCTTGCCCTGTAGAAAATTTCTATTCCTTTTAAATTGTTTAATGAATAATTAACTTTTTAAATCGTTGTGAGATTTCTGATGCTTTTCATTTGAACCTGCTTGAGACAAGCCTCGATGGTGTAATTTTTCTCATTTAAAACAAAAGACAAAATTTCCCTTCCTTTTCATGAATTTTTTCATTTGAATATTCAAAATCAAAAAATATCATTCAACAATTAATCGAATATTCAGATATTCGGCACAGCCCTAATCACCATGACAGTATGTGATAATGGTGTCAAACATCAAATAAGTTCCTTAAATATTCCGAAAACTCTGACTGTTGCCTTGAATCATTCGAAAGAAGTTTTGGGTCTCACCTTTCATATGTTGCCTTATTCCATGCAGGAATTCTGAACTTGGCTGCTGCTGTTTTGGAACTGATGAGCCACTTTTTCCCCTTGTCTTTTGATCGTCTGGTGCCTGACCAAGGATTGTTTGCCGGCCCACTTCCTGTGATTCTGGGGTCCAGCAATGTCCATGATCTTCCATCGCTGCTGAGGAAACGTGAGGATGACGAGACATCTGAGATTGAGTTCGGTGCTGACCAGGTGAGTGTTTACAAAGCTAAAAAACGATTACAATGAGATGCTCTTTCACAAACTCTTGTTGTGTTGGTGGTGATGTCCAGGGTTTGTGGAAACCTAGCTGTGTTTTAATGCACCCTATGGAGAACCGTTCATTGGTGGCCAAGAGGACTGTACCCTGGTTAAATAAATGAAAATTGACATAAAACAAACTTGTTGGATGTTTTGATTCAGCACTTCGTATTGCAGCTGTGGGACAGTGAAAGACAAACAAAGGGAAATCATTCGTAGGAAAGTTCAATGTCCGGGATGGAGGAGTTGTGGCTACTGATTAAGATTCAGAATCAGTCTGCAAATCCTGTCAGATACCGCCCTCACAACATTTTCACTCATAAGGATGGAATGGGACCTTACTAGTGTGATATGTGCTCTCAGCGGCTGAGAAAATGTTGAGCACAAATCTTTGTCCATCATCAACCCTAATTGTAAATCATGACCCTGTCTCTATATGTAAACTGAAATCATAGAGTTGTTTTGATTCAAGACATTTTCCAGGGAATAATCTGATCTGAGCAGCTGAAACTTGAGAATGAAACTCTCCTTTGCACATCCACCAACAATGTCATATGTCACGTGATGTTTATGTACACGAATGTGGAAATTTTAAATTGTAATAAAATTTGATCTCCATGATGATCGTCATCATCATCTTTGGTCTAAAGGCCATTGTCCAATGTGTTCGTGGTTGGCCTGGTTTCTTGCTCTGGCTCTCCTCCACTCTTCTCTGTCCACTGCATCCCTGCGTTGACACCAAGAAGTTGCCTGTCATATGACACGGAGCTGTTCCACGTCTTGTGAGGTCGACCAGCCGGTGTGGGGCCCACCCACAACTACTTCGGTACACTTCTGCACCCAGTTGGCATCGTCCATCCTCTTCATATGACCAAATCACCTCAGTCTATGCCTCCTCAGCACCATGCCGATCCCCTCCACAGCCACTCTCCTTCCCAACTCCTCACTTGACAGCCTGTCAACCAAAGATACCCCACACATTATTGAATTATTAAATTTATATTTCAGTAAGTTTCAGACTTTACAATATAAGTCGCTAGGTATGATTTACCACTTGAGATGAATGTAGTTTTTAAAGTGACAGAGTTTGTACCTTCAACAGGTGATTTTGGTTGCCGATGATTCAGCGAAACAACCAGAAGTGCTAGCCAAGGGCGTCGTTATGACCATAAGTGAAGCCAAAGGATTGGAGTTTAATGATGTCCTACTCTACAACTTCTTCAAAGATTCACTTGTGAGTACAGCTCTGTACCCAAACATTTGCTAAACTTAAGGCTGGTTCATACTTTATGCGAAGGTGAAATTGCGACGTCAAATCAAATATTCGCACTATGGATGCACAAAAGTTTAACACATTTCAACTTCAGCGCAATTCCACTGCAAATCTTTCGTGATGTCAAATTGGCTTCGCTTTCGCATGAAGTATAAACTGGCCTTAAAGTTTTAGATAGTTTTATTGCAAAGCCATTGTTAAAGTTGAAAGAAAAAACAGGTGTCCAATTTCCATCGCTGTGGTGGCATGACTCTGATCACTTATATGCCATTTGCTTTTCTTAACTCGAGATACGAGGGCATTTTGGCCCCTTTTGGTTGAAGACACATTCAACGTATAACCAATTGCTTTCAGTTCACCCACGTTTGGTGCAATAATCCCAACTTACAGAGGATATATACATGTATGGTGCTACTGTACACATCATGACTTGCCTCTCCATGCCACCCTGTGTGTGGCATATGAAGAAAGTACTGTCATGGGATTGTACACATTCTGATGAAAATTAGGTGTGTGTACTCCTGACAATAAATACATGAACCAGGGCTTGAATGCATAAACGTGACATGTACTGGTGCTCTTGAGTTTGTTTCTGCATTCAATTGGGGACCCTGAACAATAGAGGACAATGAGGTCCCCGATTGACAGAGGGTCCCCGATTGACAACTGTGTACAAAACATATGGGTGGTCTTGTAACAAAAGAGGAACAAACAAAAGAGGAACAATAGGGGGTCCCCAGTTGCGGGCAAATACACACTTGTGTGTACATGTATGTGTGTTTTTTAAGATGAAATGTTGAATACTGTGCATGTGTTGCAGGCAGACAGGGAATGGCAAGTAGTCACTGGTTTCCAACTCGGTAACCTTCATGATCAGCATAGGAAAGGTTTGAAGGAAACTGAACTTGATTGGCTGTTGCCTACCAAGCGGCCACATGGTCTGGACTTCAGTCCTGATAAGCACAAGGTTTGTGGCAGTACCATTCTTGATTTCATAGAAGCATGCCGTCACTAAAGTACGCTACTGGGCTGTGGAAGTAGTTTCTTTCCCATTGACATTTCAGAATGAAATTAAACTTGCCTCCTGTTTACTCCAGCAATCAATTACAGTAAGTTTCAGTTTAAGTCGCTAATTTTACTTTGTAAGCAAGGGGGATAAAATGGTATTTAACATGGTATTTAAAGGAGCATTTGGTTCAATTTAATTATGTCTGGTACATATTAGAGTTATATTTTGGCTTTTCTCAAAGGAAAGGTTGAAGGAGTACTCAGTCATGTCAACTTTTTTATTTTAAACACATTTCAAGTTCAGGTGAGGGATGTTGAGATTTTTAGTGTTTTCTTTTTTTTTCACAGATCTGCTTATTTGTTTGGCAGTAACTTGATTTGGGCTCTGCCTTTTTATCCCACATGACAGGTACTTAATTCAGAGCTTAAGTATTTGTACACTGCCATCACGAGGGCGCGAAATGAGGTCTGGATCTTTGATGAAGACAGGACAAAACGAGCGCCGATGTTTGAGCTACTTTGTTCTAATGGTTTGGGAGAAGTGAAGAGACCTGAAGATTTAACAAAGGGTGATTCCTGAGTATCTCTCTGTCTATTCAAGTTACACAAGGCTTGGTTGGACAAGTATTAGAATGACTTGGTCGTCCACTTATTCCCAAACAAAATTTGATTTGAAATTGGTCACTTGTTATCAAAAACGCACTTTATAAAAGTTTTGTGTTGAAAATCACCCCAAAATTCTATGCTACAACGATGAGATGCGACTCCGTGTAATGTAAAAAAAAACATTAGACATGATACATTGCTTTGTCTTTTCAGGGTGTGACAGAGGATTTGTAAAATCTTCCAGCCCATCTGAATGGATTGAAAGAGCCAACTACTACATTGAGAACAACTGTTGGAAGGCAGCAGAGAAGTGCAGAGAGCTTGCCGCGCACGGTACATCTTCAATGATACTTGGATGACTAACAGGCCTATGAGTGTGTATAATCCAAAACCGGAAAAATGCTCAAGAAACTATGTTGGTTTGCCTTTGTGAAAACCATCCAAGGTTTCTGCCCCCCCCTCCCCGAACTCAATTGTGCTGTAATTTGACATGCATGTGCCAACACACCTCATTAAAAGTTGTGAAGTTTGAAGTCAATTAGATGTATAGTTTTGCTGTCATGGTCATTTGAAGTTCAAGGCTACATGCGTGTCAACCGGGGTGCTTTGAGCACATCAGTGGAAAAAGTGTACATTTTTGGCCAAACTATCTCAGAAAACTGTGTGCTGCACAAAAACGGCATATCCAATTTTGCACAAAATTGGTGTCAAAATGACTGCAAAGAGTTACTCTGTAAACTCCGAAAGGCTCAACTCCTGAAAAAAAATGCAATGCGGGAAAAATGTAGAGGGGGCAGGTTCTCCCTTCCCCCGCCTCTTTTAGGGTTAAAGCAGCATAAGCAAGACCAGACAAAAACATGAGGACAAAACAATGTGCAGTATACAAATGGAAAATGCCTGTGAAAGCAGTGGTAAGAAAAATTTCATGAAGTGACAGATTGAATGCTTTATTCTGCTTGCCAAAACAACAGCATCGTGTCTGATATGTATATTCTGGGAAAATTGATTTTGTTTTCTTTTTCTTTGAGCAGCTGAAAAGAAGCAACAGGAACGAGACGGGGCCCAAAATGCAGTGCCTGGTGAGTCCCATTTGAGTCTCAGACTGCAGAAGACTGATTAGCAAGATTGATCGCCTTTTTTTTTCAGCAAACATTTTTACAATTTCAATTTGACAAATTGAGATGTTACTTGTTCAAGTTCAATCTTTCCATCCATAAAAACTGTTTCCACCCTACTCTGCTGTACATTAGAAATGTGTAGATTTCAAACAGATCTTCCGAGATCTAAAAGTACTTACTGTCATTCTGCTTTCACTGTCAATGCGAGTGGCCCAAAAGGACATTCAGTTTCTTTTTTTCTGTTCCATTTGAGCCCACGGTGAGATTAATGTGCAAATGTCTTTCATTAGGCTAGTGATTGGTTGAAAATTCTTTGGCATGGTGCAGTATCCATCTTAAGCCTAAGCATCCCCTCGTCGGTCTATAAGAGCCACGTTAATGAGGAGTGTTCATTTTGTTGGTAGCGATGTGACTGCAACGTTTGCGTTTCATAGTGCGTGAGCCAGCGATGCGCAGTTACCACCAAAGGAGCCTCCGTTGCTAGGAATATTGCGCCCTCGCTTGGTCCAGCTTAGGACCCATGGAGACATGTCTTCACTGTGTTTTCCTGGAAGGAAGAAATCACATACTTGAGCAACCTGGTCCCGAGGAATTCGTCGGTCCCAAGTTAGAGGTTACAAGAAGAAGAAAAATTTATTTAGCAAGAGGGAGCAACACTTGTTCCATGTTTGTGGAAAGGTTTGGTCGATTTTCACAAAGCATTTAAATCTAATTTGGTGGATGTGTGTGTGTATGTTTTTTCTGTCAACAGCTAAAACGAAGCAACAGGAACAGATTACGTCTACGAATAAAGCTGGTGAGTCTTGTTTGAATATTTTCGCCATCCCCAAGTAAACGCAAGTCACATCCGCTCATCTGAGTGTTGGACCCCCCCTCAGGGGTTGGAAATCATAAGCGTGAGACATTTTGTACACTCAATCAAATGCAGTCATGGGGCTGCCCCAAGCACAGGGAGCAAGTTATTAACACAGTCAGTGTATGGACTCAGCATGGTAAGGATTCTTATTGTAATGATCTTTTTTTATACAGCTTCAAGTAAGGAAGAGTCACAGCGCGAGGAGTGGATCAGGAAAGGTGACAAATATTGTGAAGAAAAACAGTGGAAGAAAGCCATCAGGTGTTACCAGCGGGCAGGTGATGGTAGGTTTTGTTCAGTTGTCTGTCAAGTCAACGTAATAACCAGAAATGACAGTGTTTGTGCCGTATTTTGGGGGTTGCTTCCAGGAGGAATGCCTTTAAACACCTCCAAAGATCAAGATCTACTTTAGAATTTAAATTAAATTTCCTGAGTCCAAATTGCAACATCTTGGCTTATTAGTAAAACTTTGTGTAGCACGAACTCTATAGAAATTCTTACAAGAAACCATTCTGAATCTAAGCAAACCAATGGCACAGTGTTTGTTGTTCACCCTTTTAAAGGTGTCAAGTCTCATCTAAAAGTGCTAGTTGAGGAGCTTGAAATTCCCCAAGCCTTCCGCTCTCAGTCTTTCTTAATCCTCCAAATCTGGTGGATTTTGAAGGATGTGGGAACATTACTGGCTTATGATTTGGACCAGTAAAAGTATACAAGTATTTTAACAGCATTATTAAGTAATGTATGGCTAAAGATATATTTGGATTGTGAATTTTGTTTCCCCCGAGTAGTTGAAAAGCAGCAGTATGCCTCGCATATGGCCAAGAGGACAAAGGAAGTTGGTAAACAAACCCATGCAGTGAAAGAGGCGACCATGCAAGCGGCCCGCTGGTTCCTGCTTCAGAAGTGTGACTGCAAGAGGATTCTATCTTGGAATTGGATCATAGGCGAATGGTCAGTGCATGCATAACGCATCCTCCTGTATTCAGATTGTTTCCAAGGCAAAAGGCTCATCTTCAAATAGCCCCGTGAACTGATGACGTCACTGTTCTACCACAGTGCATGGTAGATAACGTGGAAGGTCATCAATGCATTTCACCGTACACCGCTATCATCAGCAGAGTCTGATTATCTGTTTCCAAACGGCAGTTGTTTTTAAACCCTTATTGTATATCTTCTGGGAATACGGCCGTTCCACAATAGTGTGCCACCAAGAGTTTGCAACGCATTGGCCAATCACAGTGCGCGAAATTTGTCGACACAGTGCGCATTTGGAAATGGTGGACAAATTTCACGCGTTATGATTGGCCAGCGTGTTGCAAACTCTTGGTGGCGCACTATTGTGAATCGCCCGTATTATCGTCCACAACTGGAAATGGTAAGTTCATGCCTTGCACTTTCTTGAGACTGACCGGAGCTATGTGTCTGTCATTTCCCCTACTCATGGCAAACAATGTCCATGTACAACGCACCGATAACCCCCACTCTATCTTACCATTGCCGTAAAACACCGTGATATCCTATCCGTACTAGAATCATTACAACACAAGATGATCAACTGTAAATCCCATGACAGCTGATGTGCTCGGCCTCAGTGTGCGTTAAAAAAAAGGCTGCACCCCAAGCTGGTGAATTTTCAAACCTTTTTTTTGTCTATGTTGAAACACATCATAAATGATAAAAAGTATCCACTTTAGCATGCACTCGAATCGTGGGTTTCCATCATATGGCTACCAACTAAAACAAAATGTCAACCTTATAGAATGCTTCAACAATTTTTCAGATATGTTAATCTTAATCTCAGTACCAGAAGTATGTACTATGTACCGACAAGATAAATCACTCTGTTTAAAAGTCACATTATACTTTAAAGATGAAATACAAGTTTCTTTTCCTTCTCAGTGAAAATCATAACTGGAAGCTGGAAACTTACCAGACAATTGTGAAGGAGCTGAACGATCTCCAAGATACCGTGGATGAGCTCTGCGAGGTCGCAAAGTTTGGAAAGGCAGAAAGGGCACTCCAAGATAAAGAGTGGGAAATCCTCACAAAGATTGACCAGACCAAAGTAAAGGTAAAAATTAAAGTGATACGAGACTGAAGTTAGTAGCTGATGACTTGTTTCCAAACCACTTCATACCGGGGATTTCCTGTGTCGTAACACAGCAAGTTTAAACAGGCTCTGGTGAATTCTGGATGCCATCCAGGTTGACGTCTATATTCCATCGCCAAAATGGACACATTTTTCTCTTCTCTGTGTATTCAAACTGTGAGATTGTATTCACACATCCTCCGGTGTGATCTAAAATCCGAACTTCGAGATTTGAAATAATTTGACTTGTTCATTCCTTTGCTTTGCTCTCAGTTTTTGGATGACTGCAGCAAGAAACAGAGTCGAACGTGGTACGTAAGTTGTAACTTGTTATGAAATGTCCATAGGATGCAAATCAAAAGCTGTCATTTTTTTTGCCCAATGCCGTCTGTCACCTGCAGTATCTTACATGTTCCTGTTGGTTCTCAATACATCAAACAGCCATAACATCTTTCTTTTGTTTTTCCAGTTATTACTGCATAATGTGAACATTCCAAACCAGATTTTATTTCATATGGTACATTTGCTGTCTTGAAGAGTCATTTGTTTTTCCCAATGAACACAACAGGAGACCACAACATGGAATTTTGTTTGTTTTGTGAAAAAAAGACCACATCGTTCAAACATTTTTAATGACTCGTTACATGGGCGAAGATTTCTAGTCGCATGTAGGGGGATGATTTTACATTCCACCATCGAGCTCAGCACCGCTTCCATTCCAGGTGAGATTGTGACACAAGCGTGGAGGTGTTAGCTACAGGTGCACAACATAAAGTTGGTGACTTAAAAAGTTGGGGGGGGGAGGTGGATGATTTTATTGGTAATCGCCACTTCCCCCCATCCCTGGGGATATTCGCCCATGACTCATTTACTTTCCTCATCGTCTTTTCTATAGACTGAAGTTTTAAGAAAAAGATGGTACCTCAGTTATGACCAAGAAGTGTGTTATGATATTGTCCGTTGGCTTTTTGCTTCCTAAACCCTTTATTAATAGAAATTACTGACATCCATGTATGATCATGTGTGCATCAAATCTCACTTTTAATTTTGGCAGGTGGTGGCATCTGATTCGACTCCTTGCGTATCTCAGAAGTAAGCCAGCTGTTGCATTATATTACCTAAGCAGAGGCTGCATATGAATCTCTTGTCTAGAGCTAGGTCTAGGTCTTCGCTCCATTGGAAATGCCTGGAGACGCGTAGGCAATAGACTTAGCCGTAGCTCTGGAAGCCCGTTTTGGACACAGCCAGAGTCTAGTTTTTGTAGCCCTACTACAGGCTGTTGACTTGCATGCATGTGTTGAAGTTGGGGGTTGTGGCACAGTCAAGCATATAGAATCAATCTCCAAATATGGAGGGCCTGACGTTTCAATCCTAGCAGAATCTTTCTCAAAGGCAAAATGACAAGTAGATAGGGACAAACAAGCAAACAGAGAATCAACCAGGATGGATGAATGCAGGAGGACAGAAGGAAAGGTCATATTCATTTTACTATCTAAATTGGTCACTTTAATTTTACTTACTTCAATTATTTATTCTCCTTTTAATTGCAAACATTATGTTCAGTTTAATATTTACATGTCATGTCAAGATCTTACGAATTTTATTTGAAAAATCATGTCCCTGTTCATATGCTACACTAATATTTATACATAGACTTCTATAATCCAATTAGTCTGGAGAGCCTCTCGACAGAAACTTGTTTCTTTTAGGCAATCCATCGGGAGCTAAGTGGATATTGTGTATTTTTTTTATTGATTATGTCCCTTTGTAATGTTTGTATTTGTATATATATGTAACTTTCCTGGCTGTAAATTGTATGCATCCCGAAAAATGAAATAAATGTAAATGTAAAAGAAAGCTGCAAGCTGAATGAAGGGGCAAAGGGTAATACAGGGGGACTTCGTGAAAGGCGTGGTTGAACAACAAGGGAATGCAAGGTGGGAAGAGATGGAAGAAAAAATACAATGGATGGAACTGGACCCCAAGTGGGGGGGCGTATAATCTGCAGACAAAAGAGAGGGAAAGAAAAGTGTAGTTCAATAGAATGAAGTGTACATGGTCAGTGGTTCTCACAGTTTGGTTTGAAGACAGCAACACATTGGTAATACATGTAGTAGCATTTTGGTGCACCAAAGAACAAATCTCCAAGTTGGTTTGTCTTTTCATGACTCTGTCTAATCTTTGTCCAAATTAAGCTGGTTCAACGTCTGACTTTCAAAGTTTTACACTCTTTACCCAGCATTGACCAGAGTGCTAATAATAAGATTCTGTTTGGGGCAGTCTGAGGTTGACACATACATGTATGGAGAACTAATTACCATAAAAAACTTTTTCTCTGAAAGTATTTCAAGCTTTTCATTATGTGTGAAAATATCCAATTCATAATGTACACATGTGTGATCTGCCAACCTACTTTGGGAATTTGTATTGTGACCTGATTTTTAAGGGAAGATTTGGAAGTATTTGTCAATGAAACTTATTCAAAAGTGTCGCTTGTAATAATTTTTTCTTGCAGTTTTTGACAAGGAAAGGTTACATAAAGCAGAGAGGATCATAGCGGTTGATGGGAACTTTGACCAAGGGCAGCAAAATGGAACCTCCAAGCGTGGTGGTGATGATATGTTCCTTTGTCACAACCCATCTGGATTTTCCCATTCACCAAGAAAAGGGTTAAAAATTAAATTAGATGGCAACCAAGGGGGACTTTTGATAGAAATGAGGAGCTTGAATCCAGAAGTTTTGACAGAAGAGAAGTTAGAACATGTCATTTTGAAGGGGGAAAACGATTCAAAATAGCTTTCATGCAGAAGCTGACCTACAGTTCAGGCACATCGACTCTCTGAAATCATGATTGTGTTTTCAGCACAGTTTCCCTTTCAACACCAGTCATCTCCTCGTAATGGATTCACAAGATTTGCCCTCCAGACTCAGAGAGAAATTTAGATTCAGAGACTAACATCAGATACATATTTACATGATTTTGAAAAGATATTTTGTGAAACAGGTAACTTGATATATAATGGGGGGGAAAGTAAGAAAACTTAGTGTTCACAGGTTTGTTCAGGCGCTTGATTTTCGGCCCCAGTGGGCCTTCCTCTGAGCTTTCGGGGGGGGGGAGCTGTGTGTGTGTCCCCCCCCCAGCTCCAATTAAGTCCCAGTGGGGCTCAAACTTCAGCACCTGAACCAACCGGTGAGCGCTGTTATATCTTACTTTTCCCCCATATTACTGATCATCAGTGCTCCGCAGTTTTCCTATAATTTGATATCTGTTGTTGTGGACTGCGGAACATTTTACTTACGCAGGGATTTCTTTCACTGATAACTCAGGGAAAGTTTACAAACTGCAACAAGCTGTCTGCGAGAAGGTCATCGAATCGGCCGAGTGGTTCCTGCGTCAAAAATGCCATTGCAGAATGACCAAACCGTGGTGCTGGATTCCAGGCTACTGGTCAGTACATGTACAGTCAAGCCTCATCAATAAGAGCACTGTTAATATCACTATCTACTTAAAATAAGGACATTTTTTTGGTCCCAGGCATTTGCTTTTCATTGCTTCATTCCTGAGAAAACAAGGCTCCTGTTACAAGGGAATCTGCCAAGTCTGAAGAAGGTTCGACTTAATGAATGCATGGGAGGGAGGTCACTGTGCAAAACCAACATAATAATTGGGCTGTCACAAAGTGCTAACAGACCAACACGGACAGTAACATAACCAGAAATTTATTTCTGAGATCTGTCAACTAAAGAAGGGAGCAGGGATAATAGTTCTAGGGGAAAGACAGTTCTAAATGAGTTGTAACGCCATAGGAGCACTAACAGGAAAGTAGGTAGTCTTGGCCCAAGACTGGGTTGGCATTGTTTTTGTCTCTGTACACCAAGCGGCAGGCACAGCCAATCCACAACAGACAAACTCCACTGATATCCAGTCTTGGTGACTCTGGCAGGCCTAACCGAAAAATTCTGAACGTACCTCACGCACTTGAATTGCTATGAATAATAGAGCCTGGGCATCGCATGACAGTTGAATCTGTGTCCTGACATACACAGAGCGTGGTATACTTCAACTAATTATCATCGTAAAGGTGTTCTTTGACTTGTCTTTTGATAAATACGTATCGGCCTCCAGAGAAACAAAATCTCTAAACAATGACCTCATGAGTGGCCAGTACATCGATGTCCATTAAGTAAAGCCTAATGACCTGCGCCATTAGCACTCCTTGGGTTGCGTACCAATTCATAGCATTGCGAGAAGGCAGCATTTCTTATCAGCAAATTTCCAACTGTTCATTGAATGTGTCAATGTGCCAGTCCACTTCCTAACAGAATTTAGCAGGTTGGCCTGCCAGATTCACCAAGACTGGATTTCTGTAGAGTTTGTTTATAAATTGGTGCCCTCTACCGTTACGCGCCTGCCAGCATTATGTTGCCCACGTGGTGTATGGAGATGAAAATAATGCCAATCCAGTCTTGGGCCAAGGCAAGAAGGGTTTTTCGTTACACAAAATCTGAGCAGTACCCATGTGCATGAACATTTTGCGTGAATCAGATTGGTCAAATCGGAAATAGCTTTTCAAGTACCTTCCCATGACATTGAATGATGACCTCATTTATTCACCGTGAACCTGCACTTTGTTGCCGCATAGCCATGCAGCAACAGGCTCAAAATTTCCCCTTAATTGCTTTGCATTGTAGCCTATGCTCATCATTGTGCTATGCATGTAACAAGTGCATGTCATCCAGCAATCAGGTAGTTAACATTTTTTGGGGAGTTGGGAGGAACCTCCTCCTTTGAGTGTGTGTTCATTTTGTAGGGGTGTGTTTTAGAGTGGCAAAGTATTTTGCATTTATTCCAATTTGTACTGCCAAGATTCACACCCTGTTGCTGGAAATCGAAGATAAAATAAACAACTCTGCCCACGACCTGCAATTGAAACCAGTGTGATTTTTTCCTCTCCTCTCACGGCAGCCAAAATCATAACTGGAATGTGGAAACTTTCCAGTTATTTGAGGGCCAGCTGAATGATCTTCAAGAGGAGGTTGATAAACTCCGAGGGGAAGCAGAGTTTGGAAAGGCAGAAAGGATACTCAAAGAGAAGCAAGCTGTATTGCTGATGCAGATCAAACAAGATAAGAAGGTAAAACCAATACCACTGTTCAAAGATTGCTCTTTGAAACAGCAAATTTTGGAAATGCCACAGGAGTTTATGGAAATGCTGGTGACGATTGAATGAAACGATGAGATCTTAGGAATTTGATTTAGCAATGCAAGATTACAAGTAGTTTCATTTTGGAATGGATTGTCTTTAAAATCTGAAGTATGAAATATGAAATAAATTTCAATTTTCCATTGTTGAAAATTTTGAAATCACAGTTAGTGACTAACCTCACCAAGAAAGGTCACCAAAATCTCAGGTTTCGTCAAGTGCTACCATCCTGGCAAAGGTCAGTTTGCTTGATTATAATGTGCATTTCAAGGTCAATATGATGTCAACCAAAAGCCTACTACACGAATAAAATCTCATCACCATGTTTTATTCATTGACAGGTCAAAGTTGTCACACAACAATTTTCATTACCAGGATCTCTTTGTCTTCGTCCTACGTATGTAACATTTTACATTTTCCTTTTATCAAAGTCCATTAGTCTTCCTAAACAGCATAGGACTTGAGTAAATTTTCTTTCTCAACTTGTCAGGAACTCATTTGAATACATACATGTACTTACTCCAGCAATTTACCTATGCTGCCAATTCTTTTATGGTTAAGGTATATTATTATACTCGTCTGCAATTCCATTTTGAGTAAACATACTATTAAATTTAATTTGCTGGATCTTCCCAACTTCATGCTCAAAAAAGGGATGTCCTTTTAATAGTTAACTGAATGTTGAATTCTGGTATTGATGAATTCCACAGCGTCAATTTGTTGAACAAAATTTGCCTCGGTTAGATATTTGAGTGTTAGAACTGCTCTGTAGAACACCAACTTTAATGTCATCTACTGAAACAACTATCTCTCTTTGTTTTGTCTTTGTAGTTGTGATTATGATCCTGAAATTTTTAGACGATAACAGTGAGTATAATTTTGTGGTAATTAGGCTGGGGGGATACCTAAACTTGCCACATATCCCAGGGGCTCTGACTGAATTAATTTTCATGTTTTTCCCAGAATTTAGGTCCCAATCACTTTCAATACAAGTTTCCCAATCGAGGCACAATTCAAACCCATGCACTCTGGAATACAAAATGATGCTATATCTTGTCTTACTAACAGCATTATCATGACATCAAAACAATGGTTTCTTTCTAGTTTCCATGCCAACCTAAAGAGATGATATAGAGCATAGCTGAACAGCTCCTGGTGCTGTACAATTACATGCAAACTGATGCAAACACGGACGAAGGTTGACAGCAAAACTTTAATATGGCGTGCAAAATTGACATCTAATATCTCTATTAACAATTGAGATATCTCCGTTACAAAATCGAGATATCTCTATTAGAAATAGAGATAACACTATTAACCACAGAGATATCCCTATTTCACAATTAAATGTTAACTTTGCACATCTCAAAAAACAGATATCTCTCTTGGGAGATTAAATGTTCACGTTGCTCACCATACTTTGACCTTGGTTAATTTGCCAACTGACTAGTTGAGTAAGTCCATGTAAACACGCGCCAACATGACCGGTATAAAATGATGTCCTTCTCACTTGATGATTGTCAGGGTTCCTGCAGCCTGGAAAAGTCATGAAAAAGTCATGGAAATTTGTTTTCATTTTCCAGGCTTGGAAAAGTCATTGAATTTGTAAAAATGACTAAAGTCATAGAAAAGTCAGAGAAATTTGTTTTCGTTTTCCAGGCTTGGAAAAGTCATTGAATTTGTAAAAATGATTAAAGTCATAGAAAAGTCAGAGAAATTTGTTTTCGTTTTCCAGGCTTGGAAAAGTCATTGAATTTGTAAAAATGATTAAAGTCATAGAAAAGTCATGGAATTTTTCAAACATTGTGTGTGATTTCTACTATCAGAAATAAGTGCATAACATTTGTGATTTTATTCGCAACTTTTAAAGTCCGAATAGTCCAAGAAATGGAGTTACTGGGTCACAGATTCTCATAATATGGTCATGAAGAAGTCATGGAATTTAACTGTTCTTTAGGTGCAGGAACCCTGACTGTGCATTTTCTGATCCCCTGCCCCCAGGTACCCTGGATGCCCCCTCAGAAGACACTTTTTTTACCACTTAGTTTACTGGGTTTATATCAAATTAAGCAGGGTAAGCAATGAGTAATATGCTTGAATACATTTGGTGTGAAGGCATTGGCTTATGAGTTCCATTCAGAATGTGAAATGATAGCTTTGATATACATGTGTTTGCTTTGTTACCATTGGTTACACCTAAGTCGCATTGCTTAGCAATATTCATGTGTTGCAAACTGATATATAAATCATTGCAATCGTTGTCAATTGTAAAGGTTCGCCTGCATTTAAGGACAAAATTGTCAATCTTCTTAAGATAGCCAACAATTTATTCTGTCTTTACAAAAACTTAGGAATGTTCATACTTATTTGACATGTTCCATAGTTCATGGAAAATACTCAGTTCTTAAAAAAAATAATCCACTGGTTGACGTTTAAGATTTAGTTTACAAATCTCAACATTAAAAAACACACTAGAGGCATTTTGAGAGAGAAGGGTAAGTTTGTGGAACGTCATTTTTCTTTACAGATGTGGAGTGGCAATTACGAGTACCCTACATGATCTTTCTAGTCTCGGTGAGTGATGGAACTCATTTTAAGCCTGTACATTTTTGGCTGCGTGTAGGGCTGCGCTTATACATGAGGCCTTGTGGGGTACATGAGAACAGTGGAAATACCCCACAAGAATTTCATGAAACTGATATTTGGAAATAACTCAAAAAGGGGAAATTTTTGATGATAAAAATCTGTCGCAAATTGAAGTGTTTTATATAAGGGACATACGGTCGAAATTTCAACCCAGGGAAGTGAATTTGGTTTAAATTGGATTGATTTGAAATGGTTTGCATGTTGTGTGGGAGTTTTGTACATGAGAACAAAGGAAATACCCCACAAGTATAGCTGTGTAAGGATGTATGTGCCGACTTCGAATATTTTGATGTATGATTGATTATCAAATATTCAAATCAACTATTTGGAGGTGAAAATCAATGTAATAAAAAAGGGGACAAAAATCAATTATTTGTTTGCAAAATCGTATTCTAAAAACACTTTTAAAGATGGGACTAGTAAACTTAGAAGACAGCTGAACATGCTCAATAATAAATGCCAATAACTACTTTTCTTGAAACAGTAGCACTGGGCAGTGAATTTTTCTTTTGACACAATTTTTATGCTACCTTGTGCTCTTTTTCGATGTATAAAGTTAAAGTTGAAGGTACTGAAAAATACATTTTTTAAAACATTCAAAATTGTCCATGTTTTTCCAAATAACTAAAGGGCACTACTGCTGTGATGTCATCATGGTTCAGTGCATATTATCTGTTCAGTTTGTGAACCCAGAATTTACTTACCGAAAACGTTTCTGAGAAAGGGTTGCTTGCTTGAGTGTTGCTATAGACATACTCAACAATGATCACCGAAGAAAAGGAAACTTAAGCTGGAAAAATATGTTTTGAAAAATCAGTAGGTTTTGTGCAGAGACCATGTGACAATGAAGTTTTCTCGCCAGGATTACATCACAGGTTTGCTCATAAATAAGGACATTTCTTTAAAGTAACCAAAATGGCAGTAAAATGCTCTTTAAAACCATGAAACGAAAATTTAAAATGAGGTTAACTAAGGCATGAAATGAAAGGTGCATTTTGCAGGTTTGTATTTTTAAAAAATAGCATTGTAAAAAACAGGTTACAAAATCAATTTTTAATACATTTTAATAGTGGGTTGTAACCAACATACAGTCTTGTTCTGTACAGCTCACTGGGTGTTTTCTGTCTACCTTTCCCACAGTTTTTCCTCGGGAAGAAAAAAAGGAAACCAATTAGATAAACATTTTGTCACTGCACAGTTGATCCTGACTTCAGGGCTTGAAACCACCACTCTTCAAGTTGAAGACTCCATCTTTATGCCCGGCCCTGAAGGGGAATACTGTTTCTACACATGACTTTGTGTGCTTTGGCCAGCTCTGTATTGATGGGAAGATTTCTTTTCAGAACCAGAGTTGTGGGGAGAAAAATTTTTCCCCCAAAAAGGTGTCCCCATAATCTTTTAACACAGCTGTAGTCCGCACAGCTTGGTAGCCAATTTGCGTGTGCTAGAGCGTGCAATTAGTTTTCCCACAATAACTCAAGAAGGCCTTGAGATCTAATAAACTTGGTATGCAAATTAGTCTGGTTATCCTCCAGATACTGATTGTGAACCAAAAGGTCAGAGGTCAAGTTCATTATAATTTCAACCATTGTCCCACCATAAGGTATGTGGACCTTGTGTCCTCTTTGAACTTTCAACATGGCTCATTGGTTGGTGGTAGTCTCCAATAGAAGCCATTAGACGCCATAGGTCAAAATTGTTGTTATAATTTTTTTTCAGCATATATAAAGAAAAAGTTTAAATCAATTTATAAGCTAGTATGTACAAGTACATGCATGTTGGCTTTCCAAGTAGGATTATGTAGGATTCCAAGGTCAGTGTTGGACCCTAAGGCGATAATGTTAAAAGTTAAAAAATCAAATAATTAGAAAATCAAAAAGAAATACATGTAATGCCGTTACAGCTCTTGTAATATCCAGTATATTGTCATGAAACATGATAGATCAAGTCTACCATTATTACTTTGTGTTTGTTCAAAGGATCTATCCATGTTCATGCTATAAAAGACTTGCCATCGGAAGTGCTGCAAATAACTTATATTGTGGAGTTATATACACATAAACTAGACAATACCGAATGGAGATCCCTTATGACCCAGGTTTTATCATGTCCTGGGAATGCTAGGGTAGTGGGGCTTTGGTGTTTGAAATATAAAAAGGGCAATACCCTTCCCAAAATATGAACTGGAAACGTTCTCATTTTGTTTTGTCAGGGTAGATTTGTATAAATTGAATGGATGCGTAATATCAAACTGTCAAAGCATGATTTGTGTTCCAGAGGTAGTGTTAAGGTTGGAACTGATAGAGATATGTAGAACTTTATGAAGTCTCTTTTTAGTTCCAGTAGTAGCACTATTTTTCCGCTGACAGTAACCTGGTAATGGTCAAAATGATTGAATAAACACATTCCTCCTCAAAATCGCAGAATTTTTCAAACCTTATAATTAAATGCAAGTCGATTTCCTATTGACTATTAGAGAAAAGGACATTCTGGTGATTATGCTGATATAGTTACCATTATACCTCAATTTAGCTGTGGTTAATCCTATCACGGCTAGGGACAATGGCTACCTACAATGGTTTTGCCAGATCTGACCTGGCTGTTTGAGTGTGATTTTTAGTATTTTTACACTAACTAGAGTTCTCTGAAAATTTATTAAACATTAATTTCTTGAGTCTTCCAATTGCAAAAGCTAAGAGAGTAGATCTGAAATGGGAGAACAGAATGTTTACATCAGGATACCGAAGATGAATCTAACCCTTACATATACACCTTCTGTGAAGGATGGCCTTTCGAAGCTGTAATAGTTGTGTAACAATTTCATCAATTTGAAATGTCTGTGCAAGTGTGTGCTTGGAAGCAAAAATCCTCGATGAGAAAATATTTAATCATTTATAACATGCATTTTTATAACCTCAGAACAGGGATTCGAGTCAAACTCTTATGAAAATCCCTAAATCCTGAAATTTGAGTGTATTTTTTCAACTTTTGAACACTGTTTATAGCATATTGTTTCATCTTCGAGATGTTTCGCAGTATGCCTATTGCCTAATGACATACTTTTTTAATTTCAAGTTTTTTAAGTAGTGTTTTGAAATTTTTCTTAAAATATAATGGATGAAAACCTTGTTCTTGTCGCATGTAATCTTGATAAAAAGGCTGATAAACCTCAGAAAAGAAGTGTGGAACCCAAAAAGAAACAAGTTTTCACTGAAATTCTATTTTGAATATCACTCAAGAACAACGGGTTAAAGATTATTTCATAATAATTTTAGATGTTTCTCAAATAGGGCTATTTTACATCAGGGGCAAGCTGATAGAAATAAAACGAATTCAGAGAACTGATAAAGTCAGTTTCCGTTTTATCTTGGAGTCCTTAATTTAAACTTGAACCGTGGTGTTCGAATTTGAGTTTCAAATATTGCTCTACCTAGGCCTACATAGGCACTGGAAAAACCGAAATGCGCCGCGTTAAGGCACACTCTTTAAGCGATGGGCCTGGAGATTACTGTTACTTGTGTTACATTATGACGGATGAGTGCATCCCCCAACTTTGCTAACTAAAAATCCTAGAGTGCGTGTACGCGTTTGTGAAGCACTTTCTCGTGAAAACTCTTCCAAATGCCGGTGACAAACATGATGATCAGTGTTTATTCCGAATACGAAGCAGACCTCTACTTTGTCGTGTTGGTAATGTAATGAGCAGCCCGGTCCAACAACATCATCAGCGCTACAGCAGTAGCATGCGCCAACACGTGGATTTGAGCGAATTAATGCAGGTCAAAGGTTAGGGGTTAAAGAGAGTTTCAGCAAGTCATCATCTGTTGTTAATGTTGGTGGGTTGTAGCTCTATGGTGTTACCGAACGGCTCTCTGCCTGACAAAAAAGAAACAAGAATCCAACTTCCGAGAAAACCTCAACAGCATCATTCACCATGGTGTGTACAGAAGGTCTATATTAGTATTTTTTATGCCGTTTTCAAGTGATGAAATGTGGAGAAGGTGTTTTCTGCAGCAACGTTTTGTTTTGTTTTGAAGCAAACGAAAATTCACACCGTATCCGCAGTCCCTTTTTGTACACTGTGCTATGCGTAGCCCAGACATTGACAGACGTTATGATAGCACTCATCCGGAAGGGAGAAGCGAAGTTGTATAGGCGGAAAGGCAGAATTGGACTGTTTGTAATAAACAAAAGGAAAAAATACCCGGAGGTTAACATGATTAAGAAATTTCTCTTTTTGACAAATGAAAAAAATTCTTAAATTTATTTTAGGCCTATTCTTTCTGCATATTTTAAATGTCAAACAACATGTTAAAGTAGTTCTACTTGAGTGGAGCGTTAGTATTCCTCTTTTTATGATTTTGGACGGGATCGTCATACTAATGCTCCACGCCCGTACATATAGTTAGGTGAAAACGGTTCTCAAAAATTCCATGGTCCTCCAAGACGTACGCAATAAAGGGCTTTATGTGGTCTGGACACAAGACTTGTTGATTGTGATGTTTGGGAGTGCTACAAACAATTGTTTCCTGGTCAATACATCTTGTGCCCTGACTACATCTGTGCTTGTCCTGCAGTTTTCCTGAGAGGACCATGTCCGTCCATAGACTTATTGTGCCAGAAACTCTACACGCCCGTATTTGAATGGGAGGAGGTGGCGAAAGTTTAAGTGCTGTGCATGTGTCGAGCAAAAACGGTCGGATTTTGACAGATTTTGAAGTCAGAAATATTATTGAAGCCCCAGCTGTTTGAGGTTGGCATTGACGGAAGCCAGGAGGTGGTAATAGAGGTATTTTTGGTGAGTTTTTGGAATTTTTGAGAACCGTTTTCACCGTACTATATGTGCGGGCGTGGAGTGTTTGTATGACGACCCCGTCCAAAATCGAAAAAGAGGAATACTAACGCTGCACTCAGTAGAACTAATGCTAAAGGTAGTGTACACCATTGGTAAAATCCCCAAAATTGGACAAACGTATAATCGTGAAATATCTGAATTGAAAGAAAGTACATAACAATAACAGCCTCAATCAGTCTGTAAAATATTTCTGCCCAAAATGCTGTAGTTTACTAGAAAACAAATTTCGTTCTCTTTTTTCACAACGGTCAGCCAACCATCATAAAGGAGTTCATTTCACTTCGCACATCACATTCTTTAACAGGCGCCAATTTTCTTGTGTGTAGTGTTTGCAGATGTTGTGGGAGTCAGCATTTATAAGCGGGTAAACTTACAAGCAGCTACAAATATACCGAAAGAAATTCACCAAATGGATTGTTAACTGAAATTATAGGAAACTGAGTGTAAAAGTGAAGAGTACGGAATAAATTGGATTAGTGTGAAGTAAATTTCATTTCAGGAAAGGATTTTCTTAATACGAAAACTTTGCAAATTCAAAATCACCCCAAGAGCATAATGGTATAGTCCAAATATGACGGTTGTTTCCAAGCTGCCTTGGGAAAGGATTTTCCTCAACAAGAATTACGCTTTCCACATGTTAAACTTCCCGTGTTTCAATTTCCACTTTGCTTATCATTATTTGTTAGTCAACTAAGAATGGAGTTTTTAGACTTGCATAGACGTGTAAACTGATGTGAAAGTGTGGTCAAATGTTACACGTAAGCATGATCATGCGCGCAGGTGCACTATCATATAGACACAAGTCATTTGCTTTCCTGGATGAAGCTTTTCATGAATCCACAATGCCACATTATCGAAGAGGCGCATTACTCCAAGATACATTCAGTCACTGGTTACTCCTGGCCATTGAAAACCACTCCTTGTTTGAAACCCTCCTTTGGTTTTACAGCACAAATGTGCACGAGTGCCCACAGTCACTCTTGTGCATGTATTTTCTATATGGAACTCAAACATGCACAGGTTCAGTGTGTACACAGTAGGTTGCCAGCAAAAATTAACCCAGGGTCTTTTGTGC